TTTAAAACTGTGTTTGTCCACCTGCTCTGCACCCTGATGTGACATAAACACTAACATGGTATCTGGACTCTTTCCTTCTAATCCAGCATCTCTCTTCAGGTGGGCGGGAAAGATCCAGTCTAGCATCATGTTTAGACCTTCAAGCCCGAAAACCATAAAGCAACCAATCAACCCCCATATACTTTTCAAAAAAAAAAATCTGACTTTGTAAAAGATACATTTTTATTGAAGTATAATCAGTTTACAACGTTGCGTCAGCCCCCATATACTTTTCAATGGCCACAGCAATATTTTTTGCTTATTAATCTTTTGGAAAATAGTGTATAGGAAATGTTGACTGCAGAATTTCTGAGAAAACACCACCCTCACCCTACCAATGCATACAACTTTCTAGTTTATGGTAACAATGGAGACAGCAAATTCATGTTTTTGGCGGGGAGGAATTTTAGACAATTAGCCTAAAGCAACTAAGGGGGCACAATCATTCTGGAGATGGGATTGGAATCATGAGCTCAAATATAAAAATCGAAATGGGCCAGAACACTTTCCAAACTTGCTTTCTGTTTCTCTTCCAAGGCAAAACGGTTTTGACTGGCCAGGCATTGGAAAGAACAAAGGGACAATTACAGTACCTTTGTGCAGTCCCCCCTATTAAGGATGTTAAAATGCGACATTCAGGTCTGAAGGTGTTTTTGCTCAGGGGTCAGCTTAAGCTCTCGAAGAAATAGGAAGTAGAGCCAGATATTGGAAGTTCTGACTCCTGACCTGGGACACTTAGAAGACTGACCCAGGCTGAACTGGTTTCTTGGTGTCAGAAAGATGTGTGCACAGATATGATAAAATGACGAATATTTCTTTAATATCCTTGAAAGCAAAGCACATAGTTTGACTTCTTTTTTTTTAATGACTTGGTACTTTCTTTTTAATACTTTATAAGCACTGAAAGAAATGCTTCAATTATAAAATGCTCTCCATGATGTTAATTATCATCGTCTTCTTCACCTTAGATTACTTCTACTGATAAAGAAAAAGAAAAAGAATTCAGCCTAAGAGAGACAGAGCCTCCCTCTTTGGAGTGCCTGGTGACCCCTTCCCCTCAGGGCTCTGGTTCCCTGTCCGGGGAACCCCTCTAACCCACGTGAGCAACAGTGCATGAACCCAGGCCCATGAACCCAGATGACGGTGAGCCACACAGTTCTCAACTGCACATCCAGTCACCAGATGCATCACAAATACTTATCTAAGGCAGCACAGAAGAGGAGGAGGTCATTCTTTAAAAGAGGAAAGTTAGTCTTCACCGCATTGTAACCCAAAGATAAATTCCTCAGGCCTCAAGAAAATAGAAGGCAAAAGACTGTGGCAGCTTCCTCAGATATTCACTCTTCAATCATTAAGTTAGCTATTTTGGAGATTGCTCAAAAAACTAAAAATAGAGTTACCATATGATCCAGCAATTGCACTCCTGGGCATATATCCAGAGGGAACTCTAATTTGAAAAGATACATGCACCCCAATGTTCACAGCAGCACTATTTACAATAGCCAAGACATGCAAACAGCCTAAATGTCCATCGACAGATGACTGGATAAAGAGGTGGTGGTATTTAATAAAATGGAATACTACTCAGCAATAAAAATAATAAAATAATTACAGCAACATGGATGGACCTAGAGAATGTCATTCTAAGTGAAGTAAGCCAGAAAGAGAAAGAAAAATGCCATATGATATCACTCTTATGTGGAATCTAAAAAACCAGAAAAAGAAAAAAAAAAAAGAGGACACTAATGAGTTCATCTACAAAAGAAACAGACTCACAGACATAGTAAACAATCTTACAGTTCCTGGGGAATAGGAGGAGGGAAGAGATAAATTTGGGAGTTTGAGATTTGCAAATGTTAACCACTACATATAACAATAGATAAAAATTTTCTTCTGTACAGCATGAACCATATTCAATATCTTGTAATAACCTTTAATTAAAAAGAATATGAAACAGGGACATTATGCTGTACACCAGATATTGACCCATTGTAACTGATTATACTTCAATAAAAAAGAGTTAGCTATATTGATACAATGCTCTTTTAATTTTTCATTAAATCTTGTTTCATTTCATTGCTTTCAGATTTACGTGAAAACCATCCGAGAAAGTTTCCGGCTGGGTTCACATTTAGTTTGGTTGCTGTGATGACAATTGGCTGATGTATGGAGACCCATATTGTACCTGGGGCACATTAAAATTCATATTTTTAAAGCCAAGGCAGAATAGCCAATAGTCTTCTTCTAAACAATCTATTCCAACTTTTGTCATCTGAGCTCAGTCCTCTGTCTTTTTCGAAGTGATTTTCAAATATTGACTTTGTCCTCCTATGAATAAAGCAGATAAATTACGTAAGTCGGAATGTTTTGTTTTCCAAGGAAGAAAAAGTGAAAACGACTTATTCAAGGGAAATGGTAAGGGACATTTCTGAGAACACAATGTTGTTTGAAAAATAATAACGGATGTCTTTCATACACTCGTCCACATCAAAGCAGCCTGTAATTTTCATTGAGTCAGGCCTTATGCATCCAGGTCATTGCACAGAGTAATTCTTGTCTTGTAGGAGTTCTCCCAGGACGTCTTGCAGTGACACGTACAATAGAGTAATTCCTTGGCTGGTTGCAGCTCAGAGCAAAATCCATAGCAAGATCAATTTTTGCTGCTTACAATTCTTTTTTTTTTTTTTTTGATGGAGGCAGAGGGAAAGTAAAGGCAAGAAGATGACAGGTTGACTGAGGCTCCCTGGCATAAAGAATTAGAAATTTAATAATTTGAAAATTGTCATGATAAGAAAAATAGGTCCTCTCTGCTTTTGAATGTATATATTTTTAATTTTGCTGGTGATTGACAGGGCCTGATGATCAAATTCACCAAAGGCAGAAAACAGTGTCTTTCAAAATATTATTATACACATCTCCAATCTTTATGAAAATTGTCCATATTTGTAACAAATCATCTTCATATCATAATTTGTTATGATTATTCCCAATATATCATTTCAGACAATACCATAATAACCAATTTATAATCATATGAAAATTACAATGAAATAAGGGCAAGTAATTACTGGGCAACTTCCCTCCTGCAAGGTCCTTCCCTAAATGACATGCATTTTACCTACAAAAGAGTCACTTAAACTTTTTTTCAGAGGTTTAGTGTTGATCTGATGCATATGAGACAATGTTGGAGGCCTCGCTTGTGCCTTGGTTTTTGAGTTTTTTGGAGAATGGGACTTATGTGATGAGTTTGTTGCTGACATATTTATTAGCACAGAGTTAGTCCAGCAGGAAGCCATGCGTGGTCCCAGATCCTTCTGGTAATCCAAATTAATCTTTGAGACACTTCCCTTCACCTATTAAGGAAGTATGATTAATTCAGAGTTACAAAACAATCCAAGCTAACTGGTAATGTTTACTGAAATCTTAAACTGGGTAGGAGTGAGCCTTGTCTGCTAGGATGTGAGCTGGGTTAATGAGAGCTTGTTTACAATATCTGTGAATGTGAAAAATGGTAGATATTCCCTGATTCACTCAAACAGGGTGTTTTAGGGCACTGTTTGGGGTATGACCGACTAAAACAGAATGCTGGCTGGAATGAACCAGGAGTGGTTTTGAGTGTGTCTAGTTAGAGCACTGGACTAACTGGGTTCAGTCTATAGGACAAATCTCCATGTGAACTAAATGTAAGGCAAGTCTCCATGTAAATTAGTTAGTTGCACCGATCCAGGTCTTCACTTAGGATGAGCTGAAAGTCATGCCTTTGGTTAGACAGAGGTGAAAAGGAGGGAGC